CTAAAGTCGGAAATCTGAGACTAAAGTCGGAAATCTGAGATTAAAGTCGGAAATCTGTGATTAAAGTCGGTATTCTGAGAAAAAGTCGGTATTCTCTCGGAATTCTGAGAAAGTCAAAATTCTCTTGGAATTCTGAGAAAAAAGTCGGAATTCTGACTTTTTTCTCAGAGTTCTGACTAAATTCTGACAGCTAACAAACATGTTAGCATCAAGCCGTAGTTTGCTTTAGCTTGTTTTAATGCTTTAGCTTGTTTTAATGACCTTCTGCTCCTCCATTAATGAGGGAACCCCTCGGGCACGTAAAGTCGGAAATCTGAGACTAAAGTCGGAAATCTGAGATTAAAGTCGGAAATCTGATTAAAGTCGGAAATCTGTGATTAAAGTCGGTATTCTGAGAAAAAGTCGGTATTCTCTCGGAATTCTGAGAAAGTCAAAATTCTCTTGGAATTCTGAGAAAGAAGTCAGAATTCTGAGGAAAAAAAGTTGGAATTCTGTCGGAATTATGAGAAAAAAGGGAATTCTGTCAGAATTATGAGAAAAAAAGGGAATTCTGTCAGAATTATGAGAAAAAAAGGGAATTCTGTCAGAATTATGAGAAAAGAAGTCGGAATTCTGTCGGAATTATGAGAAAAAAGTCGGAATTCTGCCGGAATTCTGAGAAAAGAAGTCGGAATTCTGAGAAAAGAAGTCGGAATTCTGCCGGAATTCTGAGAAAATAAGTCGGAATTCTGAGGGGAAAAAAAAATCGGAATTCTCCCGGAATTCTGAGGAAAACAAGTCGGAATTCTGACTTTTTTCCCATATTAAACTGAAAGAAAATATAAAAATCAGTCAACTTTATTTTTTTTTTTTTTCAGTGGCCCTAATTCTCCACCATAATTATCTACTTTAAAAATAAATGAATAAAAATGAAATGATCTGCATCTCGCTCATATTAAAAAACTAAAACCAAATACATCTCATATCCTGTCAACTGAGTTGTAGAATCCGCTCCTTATAAATATTTAATTTTGTGTGAAGAAATGCTGATCATTTTTAAATAAGATCCTCGTTGAACGAACATACAATGTTTTTTGGTTTTTTTGTGTGTGGTGGAGCCAGTGAAGGACTTTCTTTGTTGTTTTATGCACTAAACTATGACAAAAACCGGGAAATAAAACGGCGTGATTGGCTGTAAGGAGAGTGGAGTCAGAGGAAACTATGTAATACGTATTACTAAGTGTATGCTGGTCTGACGTGGCCTGCTGAGTTGACAGAACACCGGCAGCATCGCTGGACCCAAAGAGGCAACATTAGTGCTGGCGTTGGATAAACTAACTCCGTATGAGAGATGGCAGGAAGAGGCAGCAGGGAATTCTTATCCTGTGGTTTTATTAAAGATGGCCGACCACAGCTTTGAAAGTTCGTAACACAGAAACTGTGCTGACCAGAGACTTACCAAATTATTCTCAAAAATACACGTCAGATCGCGATGAAACCAAAATCAGGATTTGAGAATATAAAAATTGTGCTGTGACATTTCTGCCATATTGCCCACTCTGACTCCCAGTGACCAATTTTCTCTAAATTCAACGGTCAGGTTCATCAATATCGATTAACTATTTTAATCCAATTAAAATAAAAAAGCCCGATGTTTTTGGATCAGATTCTACGGAAGAGGACTAGGGCCACTGGAAAAAAATAGTTTTCTGATTTAAAAATTTTATTTCAGTTTAGTATTGGAAAGAAGTCAAAATTCTGACTTTTTTTTCTCAGAATTCTGACTTTAATCTCAGAATTCTGAATTTAATCTCAGAATTTTGACTTCTTTC